CAAACTTATCAGTCAATCAATAGTCTAAATAATTGATAGCTGTAGCCCTGCAGGTAGAGATGACAAGATAGATGCTGACCAGCCGTATATATCGTATTGCAGAGAGGCTCAAAGCATGCACATGTTGTGTGAAATTCACTGACAGCATTATTGCATGTCAGTACTGAAGTCAAATTCTTCACAATAAAAGTATTTAGCACAAAATACCAAACGTGTAGGACAGTGACAAACACATACACATACAAGCCAAACAATGTAAGGTAAGAAAAGTATAAACTTAGTAAGACTTAACAGCTTCAAGTACTACTAAAAGTCTTTTCCAGTTGTTTAAGTACAGTTTGTTATATTGTGTTAAGGACCAACTATTAAATAAGATGCATGAAAGTGTGCGGGCATGAATATGTATGCGCTCAAGCTTGCTACCTGTCCACACAGACTCTCAGTAATCCTGCCTTCACTTTCCACTCGTCAACATGCATTCACCGCGATCTGTAGTCATCGCCGTGTCTGTCTTGCTCGGCCAAGGTGTTGAGTTTCCTACCTTTTGTCTGACACTCAAGAGTCCAGATTGTGAATCCTTGTCTGGAGTTTCAGATCACCATCATTTATTCAAGAGCTTTCTATAGACAGAGGCCTGCGAAAGGTGGTGGGGGGGGGCATTGACTGTAAGATACAAGACACTCTTGTCTGAGGAATTATGTAATGGAAGGGAAAAAAAGAGTGGTGGTAGTTCATATAGTCCAGATTATGTGAGCGTGGCTTAATATATGTGAATGTGTTTTTCTACAGTCCGGGAGTGCTGAAGGACCCTCAGATCATGTCCGGGGTTTGGCTCGTCATCTTTTACATTGTGTGCCTCATTCTGGCCCGACAGGTGTGTGTCTGTCTCGTACGTGGGGGTTTTGAGCATGTTGTCTAGTTGCAAATAGTAGTTCTTTATGCAGATTGACTTACATCGAAATGTCTTCGCACATGCTTGCGCTCCGTCTTTCTCTCAGGACGAGCTGGGTTGCCGCGTCGACTTCCTGTTGGAGAGCTGTTTCAAGACGGAGAGAGAAGAGATGGAGACCATGGAGAACGTCAACAAGCTCCTCCTCGAGAACGTGCTGCCGCTCCACGTCGCCTCCTTCTTCGTGGGCAAAAGTATTCGCAACCAGGTGTGAATTATAAGTTATAATACATTTCAGATCAACTGAAAACACTGGGTTTAAATAATGAGAGTTGCAAGTATGTCTTATAGAGATTTAGAGAGAACTGACACTTAAAAATGAAAGTTGGCATTGAGGTGACGGACATTCATTCATGTACAGCAAAATGTAGCTGAACAGGTTTTGACTCTTCTGGCTGCAGCATTTGCAGATGTCATCCTGTAATTAAGTCCTTTACTTTTCAAAACTGTGCTTCAGGACCTGTACAGTCAGTCATACGACTGCGTGTGCGTGATGTTCGCCTCCGTGCCTCAGTTCAAAGAGTTTTACAGCGAGAGCAGCGCCAACAGGGACGGCCTGGAGTGTTTGCGCTTCCTCAACGAGATCATATCGGACTTTGACGAGGTATGAGGAAGAACATACTGTCTGTGTCGGCATCGCCAGGTAGAAACATCTTCCCTGTGTCTCTAACTCCACTCTCTGGCTCACTTTCTCTCTCATGCAGCTTCTCTCTAAGCCCAAATTCTCTTCAGTGGAGAAGATTAAGACCATCGGCAGCACGTACATGGCTGCCGCGGGGCTGACGCAATCACCTCTAGGGGACGAGAGAAAGGTCTGCTCAGTCTTTTTTGAAAGTTTCAAAAAAAAAAAGGTGTTTTGAAAAGTAAAAGCTTGTCAAACACCTCAGTTAAGATACCCTGCCTTATAATAACATGATCTCTGGCTCCCTCTACAGAAAGTTGAGATATCCTACAGCCATGTGCGCTCCATGCTGGAGTTCGCCATCGCTCTGATGGGCAAACTGGAGCTCATCAACACACACTCTTTTAACACCTTCAAACTCAGGATTGGTGAGTTTATTTTTATATAAATATTGATAGAATGGTAAATAATACTAAAAGCCATGCGCCTGAGGCTTGTTTCTTTGTCCCCATATCTCAATCTGCCATAGTTTCTTAAAATAATGTCATTTACAATGACTGACAAACTCACACAGTGGATCCATTCAGTACTGACTCAGAACTTCCTGCTGGGTTTTCTTTATCCTTATTTTCTTGTTCAAACAGCAATATAATTTGTACACACTGCAGATTCCTGTGCGTCATTTCATTGTTTGAATTATACAAACAAAGGTTGAAACTGTTTTCAAATTCTCCCCCTAATATTTTTCTGGTGTGCGCAAGATTAATTAAAGTTCCTACTTTTAAGAGAGAGAAATGTAGGTTCTGTGCTTACGAATCCCTCCCTGTTGTTTACTTGCAGGAATAAACCACGGTCCAGTGATCGCCGGAGTGATTGGAGCTCATAAACCTCAGTATGATATCTGGGGGAACTCTGTGAACGTGGCCAGCAGGATGGATAGCACAGGAGTGTTGGACAAGATACAGGTCAGAGAAAAAGAGTCAAAAGAAGTGTAGAGGGGGTTTATATGGTGAAACATATCCTATATTCTGTCTCAGTAAAAAGTATAAATGTAAATTCGGGAAGCAAGAATCTCTCAAAATGTTGTTTTTTTTTGTAATTTTGATTTTATTATCTTTGCCTACATATGTAAGACTGACATTACAAGAAAATAATCAATTATTATACAAAAAGAAAACAAAAAAAGGGAGAA